GGAAATAATTGAAAAAGTAAAACTATCGCGTTCTAGTCGATTCGTTGCAATAATTCAGAAATTAAGAAATATATATGAGTCATATTTGTTAACTGTATATATATATATATAAGACCTGCAAGACACAATAGACAACCTATAGTCGACCAGGTGAGAAGGTGCCTAGACGGACATGCAAACGATCAGTGAATGAGATGCAATGTACGACACAAAAAATATATTTTCATGAGAGTTCGTGCAACTTATATATTGATAGGTTATACATTCAGTCTATACATAGACGAATGCGTGTGGTATCCAGTAGAACTAAAGGACAATAAATTCAATATAGTTACCGCGTTTCTGGTATTTACGGCATAATATATTTAGAATATTAAGCGACAACTATTTAATTGTGAATTATGCATTTTGACACAAGTTTTCCTGGTGTGGTAAATCAATTCTCATATTTTTCCAATGTCATACCTAACGGTGTACCACTGACCAATACACTAAGACTGTGATAATATCCTCAGTTATGGGATATAATACAAGCCAATGAAATGGACTTGAAAGAACGTGTGTTGCTTAGTATTCCAACCTACTTCAGACAATATTTAGCGCGATAATTTTAAAATACTTCACGGTGTACCATTTTCACCGTACAAAAGGTTATATATATATATATATTCTTATATGTTGACGGTGTACCATGGTACACCGTCAATGCGCATGCGCTATTATACGACAATAACAAAATTGGATTAGTCATTTAGTGCTGCGGTCACGCAATATATTTCCACTCAACAGCTAAGCGTTAGTCTGTCTAACAACACAAATAAGTATGGATAAACGCATTTTAGAATATTCTTAGTGCAAAATAGTTGGTATATACACTATGAGGTACATTGACTTGCTCTCCGACGTATATTAAACGCGCGCAAGTCGTCGCATATGATTCTTAATCGCATTCTATACAAGCTATCGAAGCATAGCGTTGCATGAGGGTATTATATTACCTTGTTGACCATGTGGTATTTGCTTCTTGAAGCCTAATACATTATAGTGAGCCATAGTTACTACGGGAAGAGAAAGTCCTGCTAAAACATAATTTTTAATGCGCAATGCCTTGGTTATTGAATTTGAAAGATACAGACAATCCTGGACAAAACCATCTGCGACACTCTATTCAAACATTCCTTTGTGGCTTTTTTCACCAGTTAGACCGGAATAATTTCCTCGTTTGCCCCCCTCCGCCCCCCAAAACAATGTTGGACGTTTTATTCGTATTCTACGAATCCAATCAACATTGAATGGTGGGGGAAAGGGGGAGGTTTTCTAAATTTACGATAACATTACGATATTTTGTCAAGTATAATTGGAAGTGTCGCAGATGTTTTGTCCAGGATTGTAGACTGAAATGTTACAATCAATGCCGTACATAAGTTGTATAGGTTGAAAAGTTGTATCTTTCTCACACAAGCTAATTCCCCCCATTTTTGGTGTATTGTATTCCTTCGTCAAAGAATCTAAACAATTAAAACAATATGGAAAGCGACTTTTCAAAGTTTTAATTCTATATTTACCATTATACACACAACTACAGTTATAAAAAGTCGTATTTCTCGGTGCTAATCTCACTCTCTTACTCCAAAAATGGCGGATAAACCGAGCGTGAGAAAGGCTAATTGAGTAATTGTTCCAATCAATGCCAAAAAAATTGTTCACCTAAGTTTATCTAACAATATTTTAACAAACACAAAAACGATGACTCAGAAATAATTGTCCTCGCCCCAGAGTTTGACTATACTAACATGGCAATGTGATAATCATGGCAATACTGATTAGCACCATAAGTGATATCACTATTAAGGATTTGGTTTTCGTCGATTTTCGCTTAGTCGTATGTAATCGTACCAATGCATTTACCCAGTTTTACTCCAAAACATGTAACTATTTTTTGCATTGTTTGTTATAGGTCAATTCTCAAGTTCTACAACTGCAACGTAGAATCAGCCTCATTGAAGGTATAGTTTAATTAACACATGCCTTTTTTACTATGAACTCAAGCTAAAGGATCTTTTAAGCTTTTACTATAATTTTAGCATTAATTTTGTCCTTCAATAGACCAAAAGCTACAAAAAGCTGTCATCATGCGTTGGAAGAATTTTATATTTTCAATTAATATTGGGGTTGAAACTTCAATACAATAACGCCAATCTCTTTTTAACTTCATACCTATAGTTAATTTGGTATACAATAACATACAATAATTTATATTTACGACCTCTGTATATTCTCTGGCCAAGGCCCAACCTGTATTGCTCGGCGACTCGTGCCAAAATTTGATGGGAATCAAATTTAATTAAGTTCAGAATGTTTCATGACCTTGAATAAGTTTAATGGAGAGCCAAAACGATGAGTGGTGAGACTACTTCAAGGTCTCCATTCACTAAAATAACAGGATAAGTGATATTGAAAGTTTAACTATCTGCGAAGTTTAGTCGACTGCGGGTCTACCATCGACCGCTCCAAAATATAAAGATGCTGTGGAAATATTAAAGAATAGATTTGCTTAGAAACAAATTATTATTAACACTCATATGGATGCATTGTTGAAATTAGAGCCAGCTAGAATTAAACATAATCATAAATTTATATTATGATTATGTTTACTGCATTAAACATAATCATAAAAAATTAATAGGCTATTGGTACACGTCAAATTACGTCCTAGTTGTTCGGGAAAAACGAAGCTGCGTACTAAATTTACAACTTTGCACCAATCCTCATTCTCAGGCTATTATCTGTGGAGATTTCACCGTAATTCAAAAATGACTTATTTTACGGTTTGGATTCGATCACATAGAAAAAATATTATTTAACATGTCTTGAAAGAGACATAGGTTAAAAAACTCAATACGAACAAACCAAACTATGAATAACGGTCCTCTGCACAGCCGCGATATGTACGTAGACTCTATGCACTGTTATTTTATAGAACAATATCCAAGAATCAGGCTTAATGGAGCAAGTAGCAAGAACCGCGGAAGAGTAGAAGTGTATAAGCAACCACGTGGTTGGGGTACAGTTTGTGACGATGGTTGGGATATTAACGATGGTCATGTTGCGTGCCGGCAGTTGGGCTTTTCCAGGGCTACTGCAGTGTACCAAAGTGCCCATTACGGTCCAGGATTAGGTCAAATATGGCTTGATAACTTGGCATGTACTGGAAAAGAAACTTATTTGTGGGATTGTCCTCATAATGGATGGACTGCGCACAACTGTGGCCATCGTGAGGATGCAAGTGTGGATTGTCAGTAATCATGCAATGTATGATGCCAATTTCTCAACATTTCTAATCAAGTATATAGAACTTATATAACATTTTGAATATAATCAACCGCTGCACGATAAAAAAATCTTAATGTGACGTATAAAAATGTTATCACATTCCAAGAACAATATACATTCCAAACAGTGGCGCAGTCAACCCGACAATTTAGTCCCACTATGCAAATTCAAAATTATCATCATGAATCATTTCTTTAGAAATTGATTGTTTTCACAGTCAATTTACACGAAAATATTTGCATAGCAGGACTAAATCGTCGGGCTGGCTACGCTACTGATTCCAAATCGTGTAAGCCAGAGTTTATAGTGACGTAAACGCTTTATATGTGAGTACCAAATTTGTATCATAAGCTTATTGTAGTTATCGGCTTCCGTAAATTGACAATATATTGCAAACATATGCATAGATATGATACTATAATTTTCATGTTGTATTTTGTTGGGGTTTTTTTCAAAATAAAAGTAATTTGCACCTATGTTTTATTGTTTTTCCTTAGTTTAGGTATATGCGGCGCAATTTATTATTCTATTCGTGCATGCAGATCGATATCTTAGTTCATTATTCTGTGGTATCTTTTGCTTTGCCAAAAAATATTTGAAAATGCCACAAAATTATAGACAATAAAATCACAAAAACTAAATTACTAGAAAATACATGAATAGTATAGTAGGTGGTTTTCGATCCGGATTTTTGAGGGTGCGTAAGGATGCTGAGGGTGCGCTAATTAAGAATATTTATCTGGAACGTCTAGTATGGATAAGACAACTAAACAGGGATCCAAATTCCAATATACAAAATGATTATGGAAATCAGGGATGTCTTGTCAACGATGATAATTTCGACCACAGCGAAGCGTTAGAGGCCGCTATTGACAAGAGAAAACTTATTTTAAAAAGACTTTTCAGAAACCCATGGTCTCCTAGTGACATTGACTGTTAATGGTTGTTTGTGTTTGATTTATAAAAATAGAATAAAGTACGATCCTGTGTGCCCAGCGGGAAAAATGACGTTTATCCAACGTTGAATCAACGTTGGAAATGACCTTCCAGACGTTGGATAGACGTTGAAAAAGGGTTGACTATGCAAATTGGATCGACGTTACTGTTTCGACGTTGGAACAACGTTGAAATTAGGTTGCCAATCTCGTCAACCATAATTCAACGTTGAATCCACTTTAAAACAAGGTTGAGATTGGTTCACAAATCGACGTCGTACATTTAACCATGAATGAACGTTAATTCAACGTCTGTTGGCTACTGTTGAACCAATGTTTGTAAAACAACGTCAGAGCAACGTAGATATTAGTTTGTCGACGTCGCATCCTTTTTTCTACCAAATTTCAACGTTGAAACAACGTCGTGTGCCCGGTGGGTGGTAGCTATTTTAGGCCTACTCTGGGGCGGTAAATCGCCTTAAATCGCCGTGATATAATGCGATTTGGGGCGATTTTAGGCGATTTAAGGAAAAACTGGGACTTTCAAGCACTGCGATTTAATGCGATTTTAGGCGATTTAAGAGAAAATTCTAATTTTTAGGGATTGTAATTTAGGTGTTTTCAAGGTAATTGAATTTTATATTTTGCTCCGGTTTCCTCCCACAGGGCAAAATTTGCAGGGTGGGTTGGAAAAAACACAGTTAGAAAAGTAATATCATATTCTCATTGTTGTAAAGATAAATAGTCTAGACTAACATAAGTAATCCTAATACTTGATGTAATCGGTCACTGAAAAGGCCCAATGGGGAGTGAGCTCAATAATGTAATGTTTTCACACACATATGCATCGTATGAAGCAAAATACAATTATTAGAACATGTATGTACATTTTATATAACGGTAGGTCAATAATTATTGTATTTAACCCGAATCATATATACAGCTCAATATTCATGAACTTTTCATCCATTGTCTATTTAGAAGCCATTCGAGTTCATCCTGTGGGGTCATGTGGTCATTCATGGCTACATTATATACCACAAATATTGCAAACAGTTAATAAATATACTCTACTTAAGGGGCATGTACGGTACATAATTGCAAAATCCCAACCTATAACTAAACTACACATGTCTTAGGCTAAACTTTAATATTATTAATTGCAAAATATAATAGATATTTGATTTTCAAAAGAGAGACAGCCACAGGGAGTAGAAACGCACAATATATTTATACAGTTGCAATAAGCTATAATCCTATAAATTACCTTGTAACCCTTGTAAGTGAAATTGTCTTATTTTGTATCTTGTCAACACTTCTTTATTTAGCTTGCATTTTATTTAAAACTGTTTCAACAAACATGTCTTTTAAAATTATGTTTGATATCTATATATTATCCAGAAACAGTATTGCCACGCATTCGGAAACTGTCGGCGTAATGCCGTAAAGTTTAATTTACATGAAGTATATCGCATATAAATGGTAGGAATTCTAAATTAATTTTAAAAAATACTAAACAAAATGATATTAAACAAATGGCACACCGCGCACTACAACGAGGTTTTAAGTCTTTTACCTGATAATTTGTCAAGTGTTCTGCAAACAAACAACAACAAAGATTGTATGGTATGTACGGTGTAATCATTGTTTTACTGTTTATTTTATATACAGGTCTGGAATATTTAATAGATGAGAGTTACAAAACTTGCAAATCTCGCTCATAACCTCACGTATGTTTTTCGTTTGATAGCCAATATAATTATAACTAGGAGCCACAGTATAACCGTGCACATGTCGAAGTACAACCATTGTATACAATGCAGTGCTCGATCTACATGCAACAATGCACAAATTGCAGGATGACCTTATTATAGACTCGTACTCATTGACTCTCATTATCATAGTCTCCTACTGTTGTTCTAACAGCAATTAGGCTTTGAGAAGCCATGCATATTATAGATTAATTTGTAGTCCAGCCCCCATAGTCCATATAAATTGTAGCCCAGCCTCCACATTTTACACCAATAATGAAATTAACTAGTAACTCAATTTTGTTGCTGGTAGTGTAATGGAATCTATGGGTCTTTCATATCCCAGAATTGCCTAATTATTGTAAAGTCTGCATAAAGCAGAAAAAGGCTCTGTTTTTATTAATGACCGGAGCCTATTGAGTGACTAAATATTGTCAGCCTAATCCACTTATTTGATTTATCCATGTTGCATTACTTTTGATTGCAGAACACCTGGATTACAAGATTTGCCAGCAAAATAGCAGCAATTGATAAGCTTGTGCACATAGACTGAATGTATCAAACAGAATGCATGTTGCAGGCGAGTTAATGCGATTTTAGGCGATTTAAGCGAAATTTGACAGTTTTAACCCGCGATTGAATGCGATTTTAAGCGACTTTAGGCGATTTAAGCGGAATTTGACAGTTTTAACCCGCGATTGAATGCGATTTTGGACGATTTTAGGCGATTTAAGGCGATTTACCGCCCCAGAGTAGGCCTTATTTTCCCCTAACCCATTTCTCTAACCCTCTCCCAAGTCCCGGCAAACCTTCAAAAGGCCTTTGGGGCCACAACTATTTAATGTTAGGAAATCAGTTGACATTTATCATTTGGCATTATGCCTCGGAAGTGTAAAGATTGTCCCATCTGCGGCAAGCGAGCCTTAAAAGATTGGCAAACCATTTGACAGACGTCCATGAACTTTCGTCCCAAAAAAGACAACCTTATCTTATTCGTGCAAAGCCAACAGCTTTAGACTTAGAAAATGTTTTAGCAGAGTTACACAGATTATAGTTGGGAACATTAAAAACAGTCAAAGTGGAATAAAAGCGGGATAAAGAATATACCCATCCGTCAACTAAAATCCTCCAGGAAGAGAACAAAATCGAATACAAAATCTGCAAAGAACGTGGACAATACAGAAATGAATGATGGCTCAACGAAGCGGTTAAAGTTAGAAACAAGAATGGGACGAAACTCGTAAGTGGATAATATATTTATACAGACAAGAATTATTAACTTTGTAGTACTTATTAAAGAAATAAATGTGTTCTAAAAATGAAATCATGTGCTTTTGCCTATTTTATATCCGCGCTCTGTGTCCACGCTTATAATAGCCCGGTATTATCCTTAAATATCCCTATTATGATGTACATTGTACGCATCGTATCGCTAATGTCGTTTAACGATCGTAGGTGTATACAAATAGCGAACATAACAACGCATAGTAACACGTGCATGTGCTAACTTCGCTTGGTATATTTATTAACATTGCTCGTTGTGACGAATAGATTCCTCGCTACCATTTTGTGAACATACGAAAGTTAAATAGGCAATAATCACGACTAAAGTGTATAACATTGATCTCTCTGTAGACTTGTTCAAGGTTTAGTGATCATTGTATTTGTATGAAACGATAAAGTTTGCTTATCAATTTCATTTCGTTTCAACTCATCAAAAATTGTATTTATGTTATCCATTGACTGTGCTTGGATCAAATGTTTGGAAAATTTTGTAGCTACGCTATGCCAACATTAATCCCTCTATTGTATCACACACGTGGAGGGACGCTAAAAAATGCTTAGTCAGCAAGTTTCACCCGATCTTGTCTAAGCTTGCCCTCGTGACGTCATTGCATATATTAAGTGAACACACCCACATGAGATCCATGTACCCTCATTTGTATGAATATTAATTAGTGCACCCTTACGCACCCTCATTTGTATGAATATTAATTAGCGCACCCTCAGCACCCTTACGCACCCTCACTCACCCTCCCTCACCCTCATTGTATGAACATTAACTAGCGCACCCTCATTTGTATGAATATTAATTAGCGCACCCTCATTACCCTTCCGCACCCTCAAAAATCCAGATTGAAAACCGCCTACTATACTACAATACATGCATGCTGCAACCCCTCGCGTTTCTTAACATATGAAGTGTAAATGACTCCACATGAAGTATTAAGACCATTATAAACAAATATAAATAAAGCACAACTGATGCGCTAGCTTAATGGACGATAACATTTGCTGCAATTTCGTGTACATTTATTGTGAATTATTGAGTTAAGTATGGCTTAAAAATTTCGCAGATATCAATAAATCGACAACACAAAGCAAGTACGGCATGGAATTTAACTACTGACATCACGACCGTGACTTAGGTATTACGGCTGGGGGGGGCTTGTTTTTCCCAACCCAAAGGGCATGGTGGCAGTCGTGCCCGACGGACATTTCAGGCGCTAATTAATAAAACCCATCTACAATCTTTACACCGTACTCGAAGATGAGAAGCAATTCCTTTTCGCTCACGTGGTTCATCCTCTAAGAGAAGGCATGAATTTCCACACTCTTTACAAACTATCTGGGTAAAAAGTTGACCAACCAATTCCATCTCACTGAAACGGTACCCGGTTACATTTGACTTACGTTGGGTCCTAAGTTGTGGACTTTGGGTGCCTATTTTTCGAGCAGAAGCAGAAACGGTATGATCTGTTTCGGTCGATGTCGATTGCTCAGTCAGCTCATGAGTGGTATCATTGTTTACACTCGACTACACGAGGTTTCTAAGCGTAACGTAACAATTGATTGCCACGAAATTTCCGTTTTCTTGGTCTTGAACCTTGTTTTGGCATTGTAAATATAGATACAATTTAACAAGAATCGAAAAAAGCTATACACCAATCCAAAAATATCCAGCAGCAAAAAACACAAAATTCACTTGCAAGTTTGAAGCCAAAATGAGCTTCAAACGAAGCCCACAAATTCCAAAACAAATTTCCAACGGATGTTTCAAAAAGGGAACATACTCTACTTTATGCCGCAATATATTACAGACGTGTAATTTTGAGCTCCGTCAAATTGCTGTGAATTACGTAAATAACAGGAGTAAAATAAGTAAACTAACGTTTCATGGTGAAGCGTACAGATGGATTGGCTCTCTGAACGAGTTCAAAGATCTTTGTTGACTTAACTTTGGCTGCCAAAGGTAATTGGAGTTCGCCTGGAGGCAGTGTTAAACTTTTCAGTGATACATATTCTGACCTAAAAATTAAATGGTATGGACCGCGTTCGCAGAAGCTAGTGATCCAAATTGACAACGTGTGACAATGTGATCATTATTCAAAACTGATGGTTGAAAGCTTGACTACTTCACGTTTAACAAATAAATTTTAATTTAATTTATTTTAATTTAACAACTTTAATTTGGCACATAAAAAACTGAATATTTACATAACTTAAACGGACAATTACATTGTACAAGAAGACGAGGAAAGTGCCAAAAGTGGCGAAACACAAACGAGACTATGTCCCATGCAAGGTGCTCACCACTAGACAAGAAACAAAGACAAGAAACAAAGACAAGGAAGATTAAATGAAAAGACTAAGAGAATGAAAAGGCAGAAAGAATGAAAAGACAAAGAGAGAAATAAGTTCTTTGAATGTTTGCATGGCGATAAAATATAATTGTTTTGTTTGTGGAAACACCACGTAAAGAGAGAAATGTTCGATATTTTTATTGAGTCGTGATAAGTGAGTGTGAACTAGGTAAGTCAGGAGTGTAGGAAGTACTAGTGAGGTGGATGTAAGTCTTGCGCAAGTATGACTTAAAAGGTGACATAACAATACGAAGGGGCAGACGTACAAACATAGTTCCACGTTTAACAATTCTAACACAATACGAACTTTGAAATGTACTTGTTTTGCATGCTTGTGTTCTCAGAAGACCAGAAGTGACCGCGCGTGTCTTTCCCGTTGTAACTTAAACATACTGCGATATGTCAAAATCTGTGAGACCGTAAAGAATCAAATAAAGATATTTCGCACGAAACTAACCGCGGCGCCGTGTACCTTCCTATTGAAGTATATCACTGCACTTGTAGCTGCTCTGGCAAACTTTTAGCAGCAGATATGGAGGGTTTGAAGATGGAAATAGCAATCCTTGAGTTGCGTTTGTCAGGCAATTCTTACAGTGAGCTGAGTTCGGATTTGAAATCTCTTAGAAGTACACTGTAAGCAAGGGGATATGGAAGTTATTATACGCAAACAAGACGAAATGATATGCAAACAGGGGCGTATCCAGTTCCTCAGATGAATGATGCCTAAGACCTCGCATTTGGAGTGTGGTTCGGGGTATCCTCCCCCGGGAAATTTTGAAATCTAGGACCTCGGAAATGCGAAAATTATTTGCTGCATTTTTGGAAAGCACGTAAAAAACTTGAACTTATATCGCAAAAACAACATAGTTTCTCCATATAAGAAAAAAATATTTGCTTGTACAAGTGTAATAGCAGCAGTGGCACATAAGTTTCTATTCAAAAATAGTCAGTGCTGTGCTTCTTGTAGCCTTAATTTTTCCAATGAAAAACATTTCGGCAAAAAATCACGACAACGCAAATACACATATACGTGTAATGCAAACTATACGAAAACAATATGTTCTTTAAGTCAAAATTGACTAAGCTGTTATCTTTTGAAAAGTTAACTCCTATTTTTAGCTCATATTAATCATGAGAACAAAGCACCTGTCAATGTTGGCACAGTTAACACCAGTTCTGAATCTCCTACCATTGTTAATGAACAACACATCGATTCAAATACAATTACAAATAATATGAATACTGTTGACGAAATTAGTATTCCTAATGAATCTATGACCATTGTTAATGACTAGTCTACAGTCTTAAATAGAAATATCTCGCTCTCAGTTAATACCGAGATCTCTCGAGACAATAAGGAGTTGGCTTGTAATTACTGGAAAGAGTTAAATAAGGAACAATGTTCAAACATCTACCCTGAAATCAGTGACGAGTCAAACAAAGAAGGTCATTGCCATGCGAAGCAAATTATAACGACCCCACAAGATTGATGAGATCCCAAGCTTCCACTGATTCGATAATTTAAGCCACGGCAGTGGCGTAGCAAACTCGATAATTGGGGGGGGCCAATATTCATATATTCGTGTTCACTGACCTTAAAAACAATTGATTTCAAAAGAAATTAATAAGGCAGAACACGAATATATGAATATTGGCCCCCCCAATTATCGAGTTTGCTACGCCACTGAGCCACGGCCAATTGTAGTAAAATTTAATTTTCACCAGGATAGAGAGCACGTGCGACTCAATGCCAAGAAACTTAAAGGCACAAATATTGGCGTATCTGAACAGTTTCCGGAAGAAATAGAAAGAATAAGAAAAACACTCTATCCTGAACTAAAAAAGGCGAAATCAGAAGGTAAAAGAGCCAAGATTGTGAGGAATAAACTTATTATTGAAGGGCGAGTGTTTAATAATAGGTCTTGAATGTTTGAAACCAGATAGTCTTAAAAATACCATAGTCCATATCCTTACTAACATAACACAATTTTATAATCTATTTCTTTCAAGTTTATACTATAAACATTTTCAATGACCACTCTGAACAGTGAGCACAAGAAGAAATGTTCTTCTTGCTTCAAAACTATCCAAAAAACACAAAAATCTATTGAATGTTTAACATGTAGCAAATGGTTTCATGCTGTGTCTGCATGCACAAAGTCATTCAACTCCAGCATAGATATATATCGCACTACAATGATTTGTGTCAACATTGATTAGCTAATTCGTTACCTTTTCAATCACTCGATGATTTAGAATACGAATTTACTGTCTCAAACGGAATCAATATCAGTGAAGAAGAAATGGATAGACTCAGCCTAGTCCCTGGCCTTCCAAGCGCGGGCGAGTTACAGGCTGTCGTGAACTTGCGGGCTGTCAGCTTCGAAAAATATCCGAACTGGGTCGCGCTGGAAGGCCTACTGTATCAAAATTCGCATAATCAACATGGCGGTGTATTTTCGTGAATTGGATTAATCTTCACTATTGTATTAAAATGTAACGAAATGCTTTTAAAGCACGTATTATATTTAAATTTTGTATTTTGTCTCGTTGATAAACCTTTCAGGACACCACTGGCACTGGCAATTTGTTGGCTTGTTCACACAAAGACTGTGTCGACCGAAATGATTTGTTCAAAAATATTAACCAGCATTTCTCGATACAGCATTTAAAACCACACATTGGAAGTAATGGTAAGCTTAATGGAACAGAACATTTCACTTGCTAATGAAAGGACCGTGCGATGAATTGATTTTTAGAAAGTACATTGCAGTATCAATACAAATATACTTGTCTTATTATTAATACCAAAGGTTCGACATATACCAGATTAAGTTTTATTAGTTAAATATATGGTGTCCGACTATCAGTATCAAGCTAACTGAAAAGTCAAGTTGAGCATGATACTCATATGCCAATTAAATTTCATGTTATATACCCAATATATTTTGTTGACAAGTAAAATTATCTGGCAATAAACCAAGTAAAGTATCAGGATGAGAAAATGTGTTGAGAAAATGAGAAAAGGTGTTTTGTCCAGATTCAATTTACTTTATTCTTTACTCTGTCTAATGCCAGACAATTTTACTCATCAGTGGTAGGCTACTGCCTAAAACTTATGTAAGAATAAAAAAAATCTTATCAAAATGAATTGCAGTGGTTTTGTGTTAATGGGGGGGGGGGGGGGGGGGGGGGAAGTGATAGGGGGCTTGACGACTTTATTCATTTGTGTTAGAGGCCTGACTAGAGAGAGTACCTTTTTTGTTTTTCAATATGACTTTGTAGTGTTCTGTCACTTTTTTAACAACATTAATTTTTCCTGTCATATGCTGATAAAATTAAGGCTTGCCTAAATTGCAGATATTCATGCATTTTAATATTACTATTACTGTATGCACATTTACCGGCACAATAGTCATTCAATTGTCATTCAAGCCAATAAAGATCAATTTCAACGACCTTCCTTGATCCACGGATCCTGACCTCAATGTTTTAAAATACTACTTCATTTCAAATCCATGGTTTTGGATTCTCATAATACTATATTGCTAGTAAACTGAACACAAATTTATTCCATATGTGATATGGGGCCATTCCCAAAATACATAATGCTTGTGGGCATAGAGGGGTGTTTGATCAGGAGTCGCAGAGTGTCACAAGGTGGGGGGGGGGGGTATTACATAAGGGGAAAATATAAAAAAAAACAGACCTTGCTTGCAAATATGTTGCCCTTAGAAGACAAATCAATGTTTTCTAGCAAAATATATTGCCTCAGTGGGAAAGAACCTGAATGGAAAGGCCAAGGTTAAGGCATTGAAATAGTGTCTTGTACATACAGTACATTATTTTTGCATAACTTTATTGGCATGGGGGTAAATAAACGTCTTGTTTACAAATCAACTGCACTAATGATCGGCGTCCCCAGGGGTTGATCACTATGAGGGGGGATTTGTTACTTTTTGTACAAAAATAATATCCCTCCAGGTAGGGAAATTGTTTGCACTGGCCAGGCAGCATTTGTAATTTACCTAGAGGGGGGGGAGGGCAATGGTGATTTTGAGAGGGGTCACAATTTAGAGGACTATCAAAAATTACCTGAATATTAGGCAGGGAACCTTCAACAAAAACGTTCCCTTAGTTTTCATTTTTGTTGCCATGCAAAGTTGCAAACCTTTCATATTCTAAGGATTTATGACTGAAGTTGTTATTAATAGATATGGAAGTTCAATGGTCAAGAATATTTGACATTATAATGCATGTCAGAATTTATTATTCATATTGATAAGAAACCAATACTAATTAAAGGTCAATAGATTTTTGGAAGGGGGAGACAGGGAGTCGACAATTCACCATCTGTTGTTTACAATCATATGGGGGGGGGGGCAACGAATGTGATCAACAAAAGTGGAGGGGGTACAGAAAATTTAAATCCCTCCCCCTCCTGTAAGTAAATTATAAATGCCCCTAACAGGCACAGTTTACCCCCAGGATAAACCAAAAGGATATCAACATTCACATAGTAGTGGCTATTTAATTGTTCACCTTTCTGCTATACAGTATTTTCTGTGGAGTTAACCAATTCACAGTTAATAGAAGTAGGCTTAACTGTGACCAACTGCAACGTTTCTGTTAGATATTTTATGTTTCCATATTGGCAATGGGATAGGTACTGTCATATGATTTTTGTCATTAAACTTTACCCTGTACCCAAGGGCTTTGTCAATATTTTGTTCTGTCAACCTCATGGGAAGCAGAGGAAAGTGAATAAGTGCAAAGGGCATACTTTAGATATTTACACTTTCCATTAATGGCACCTTTCCAACAACAAAAATATGAACAAAATATATAGAATAAACATTTAACAATTTGAATACTAACTAGTAACTACAGTTCATACAATGAGACAGTCAACTTCTGTGAAAATATAAACAACCCTGTTAGAACGCGCTGTTCGAAAGGTCGTACGCTATTGGCTGAATCATGCTATTTGGTGGTCGTGGTGGTCGACCAATCAATAGTGCGTTTTCTATTATGACGTATCATGAATTGACA